GGGGGCATGCCCCGGACCCCCTACGACAGTGTTGTCTCAATCGGCCCAACTTTCGGCCCCCCTTCCGGCCCCCCCTTTTTGGACATTTCTGGATCCGCCCCTGGTTGTTGTTACTATTGTTATCATCATCGCCGCCGCCACCACCACGATACAAAGTCATGTGAATATGTGATCCCCCACCTCTCTGATATAGACCCCTTCCGCATCACAGAGGAATATACCCACTGTAACATGAATACAGCAATAAAATAAAACTGAAATTAACAATAAATCCAGGGCCAGATTTGGGGCCGGTGACACCCCCCCCCCTTCCCAAAAAGAAAAATGTTCATTTACTATGGAAATCTGAAAACAGAAATGCAGGCCCTCATCATGACTCTCACTACTCTCAAAATCTGTTTCCACTTAGCAGAAGTATACTCTTGGATTTTTGTGTAATTTATGCACAAATGCAAACTGAGAAAATTGTATAATTCAGAGGCAGTGGCTATTTTCAAACCAGTCTTAAACAAAGACGTAATTCTGATTGGATTGGATGTCCCTAATCAATCTATACACAAAATAACCTCTAATCAAATGTAATGTAACAATAGCCATTGCCTTTAATTTACCAATTTTTTTGGGCATTTTGTAAATTGTTTAACCATATGTGATTTTAGTAAACTAGAAGCAATTAAATATTGAAGCAGATTTGTTAACTATAGTCATACTCACAATTTAATATTTTTTGTTTGCTATTTTGAAGTTTGAACAACTATAAAATAATTTTTTCTTTTACTTGAATATTCAAATAAAGATGATTTAAGAAATTCATGTCAAGTGTTATTTATTCGCATGTACAGTACCATGTGAACACGATCTTGAGCTGTACTGTACTAAGCCTTGAAGACTCTCCCCTTCCCACTACCAGGGAATTTACCTGACAGTAAACGGTTCAATAAAAATTCACATTAGGCCTAAAGTACATTTTTGTGGAAAAGCTAAGTTGCGATGATATATAGAATGGTTAAATGTATAAAAATGAACAATAACATTCAAAAGAATACTGGAATGGACAAACATTACGTTTTAGATAAATATAATGTCAATTTAAAAGACATCAAAATTAAATTATTAGAAAAATTGCGACTGAGGCTTTAGTCGCCTTCTTGGTTTGTTCCCTTTATCGGACATGTTGGACCCTCTGTCAAAATTTCTTGAGCCACTGCTGCTGAACAACTTGAAACAACAGACTGATAGCCAGTGGCATAATTACAACAGGTTTATTGAACCTGGGCCTCCGAGCTCCAAGTGCACCGATATATAAGGACCCCGCTTCCTTGAAAAAAAGTCTTTCTTGTAACAATTAGCAATTTTCAGAGGAGGACAAAATGTTATGCTTAAATACTTTCAGCATAACATTTTGTTATGCTGAAAGTATTTAAGCAGAGAAGAAATAAATATATATATATACAACTTTTTTACAGCCTGTTTTGCGAAACTATTTTCTTTAAAGATCAATATAGAGAAGAGCAGAAATATGAAATAAAATTTTGTTTTCTTATTTAGCCAATTAGTTTGGCCAAAAAGATCCAAATGAAAAAATAAAAATAAAATTGCATTGGCGAATGTAAACAGTATAGTAATGGGATGGTTAAATCCTGGAGGAATTCCTCCATTATTAAATGCTTTACATTATATAACTGAAGAAATACACATCTTATTTTTAGAAATTTTAAGGCAGCGGCGGGCGTAATAAAAAATAGAGAAACACTTTTTTCTGGAATTTCCATATTTTTACATTTTTTGGCAAATTAGGTGCGTTAATTTGGCTGGAAAAAAAAAATTAATTTTATTCAAAATCAAATAAAAAAAAAATTGTTAGTGGTAGTTGGCTTGCGAAACAAGGTACTGCATAAGAAGGTTTTACCATTCCCGATCAATCAACAGTACCCTCGTTGTTTATATTTAAGTCTACTCTTTATTAGAATTTGGTGAGTGAGTTTTTAAATTGTGCAATGAACAATGGATCCTTATCTGTTAAAGCTCTGTCTATCAAAATTTATGTGACAATTGTGATGTGTCCATATATGGGCATGAGGATGTCATATTACATCCAAATATGGGCATGTGACATTTATTTGTCACATAAAATTTGATAGTGTAGACACAGCTTGAGATTTGATCTTGATCAGCATCGCTTTTTCTAGAGAACACAGCTCAAGACTTAATATTATTGTGATGACAGAAAATGAAATTATTTATTTTATTCTTTCTTGCAATCAAAAAAAGTACAAAAATACTTTACCGAAAAAGTAAACCAAAATACAGAACAAATTGCAAGGAAAAATAACAATAAACTCAAATTAGTGCCAAGGAATAACCAATTAAGCGACAGAGCCACTGTCACCATTACAAAATATAAGATATGGATAATAGAAAAAAATGATCAAAAATAATTACAACAAAAAGAATGCATAAATTACGCAAATACAGTATTATTATTGTATGTGATTATAATAAATTATTATTACAGTAATTAAATTTATGTTATTATAATGAATTTATTAAATGATATTTAGGGGATTTTAAATTTTTAAATCAATTTCTTATTTTACTTTTAAACAAAAAAATGTGAGAAAAACGAAAAAAATTTCCAAAGGTCTGCAGGAAGACTATTTCAAGTTCGGTCAAATCAAATTGGGATACAGTATTTTGAAGTGTCATTCTGAATGAGTATTTGAATGTTTGTTATTAATAATCAATTTTTGAAAATATTTTAAGAAAAATAAATTTGCAGACATATAAAATTGTAAGATTATCTCTTAAGTGAAGAAATTGTCAATATTTTATTTATTTTTATTTCATTCAATTTCCAGGTAACAATCCAACAAAAATATAACAATGAGAATACAATATCCTGAGGATTACCATGAGTGCAAGCACTACACTATCAGAGAGCGGCTTTCCATATTGCATCCTTACGTACCGTGTACAGTACTAAACGTTAAAACTACAAATTAGATATTTAAATGAAATGCTAACATTTTATGATAAAATTCAGTAAGAAACAATTACAATAAAATATTTTAAAATTGTTAACAAAACAAAATAATATTATACATTAAAACTGCTGAATTAACTAAACAATATTTAGTTAAGTTCATTAAGTTATTAGATGATGACTTTCCACACCTGGTGACGAGCCCGGATTTTGTGAGCCATGTGCGTGAAACCCTGAAATAATATCTGATTCTACACCCTCGACCTGGGCCTGACCTATTCCCAGGGGGAGGGGGGTCAACCAAGATAGTATAGAAAGATGGATGTGGGTGAGGATATGATGAGGCGTGCATCCAAAAACCACTAGGCCTACGTCTTCGATCAAAAAGTTGCCTACCAAATAACGTTGTTTTGATTACCAATCCCTAATATTGAGGTCTAAAAGCACATTTTGGACCACAATAAGCCATAAAAACTCCCCTGTGAACCCTACCCACTTGTCGTCAAAATTCTGGCGCCGCCATTGCTATAAATCTGCTCCAAAATATGTTTGTCATGTTTTATTTAAAAGTTGTTTTTAACTATATATTGACCCCTTTATTCAGTAAAATTACTGTTTAAATAAACGCCTGTTAAAAAATGTCCCCTAGAACCACTTTTAGATTAAACGCCTCCCTTCTTGAATAAATGGCCCATGCGTTTTATTTTCCTTCGAATAAATACCCTTCTCCCCCACAGTACTCCACCACCCCACTATCACTTCTAAACGACTATAAAAAAAAATCCTGATTCAAATCTAAGTAAATATTTGTTAAATATTGTACAATGTGCTGTCACAGTGCTGTTGTGTTTTGTTTTTTTTTTTTTTTTTAAACAGTTGCTCCAGGTTTCAGTTTAGGCCTGTTTATCATATACATGCACCACACATTTTTTCAATATTAAAAACGAAAGAACTGTTTTCTTGGCAGCTTGATGTACTGGCATTGAAGTTTATCCAGCTTTTGAGTTTTCTGCACCTACCCCTCATTGAATAAAACAAATCTAACGGAAACAACATTAAGCTTCCAATAGGTCTTGTATTTTGAACAAATATACAGCCCTCATTCGTACTCAACTATGATGTTATAAGGCCATTGGCAGTCTATTTGTTCACTTCTTGATAGAAATAATTATAATTTCCATACCATTTCAAAAATCCCAAGAATGAATGAAAAATTAACAAAAAAATCACAAGACCCCAAGGTGTCAATAAAAATCCCAATATCAATAGTGGTCACACTGGTGTTGAGTTGCACCGATGATGACTCTGATCATGCGTACAAGTTGACGAAAGGATGAATACTGTTTTAATAATAAAAAACCTTTTAATAATCTTTCTTTGATATTAAATAGCTATGAAATAAACAGTTAGAAACTATAGAGGGCGTGCTACCGCGTTTGATATCCCCAGTGTTTGTCGTCAAAAAATCCGGGAAGAGGAAAGCACGTCGGTCTTGCACAATGGCATTGCACGATTTACAATGTTATTAGTCTAAGGGCCTACGAATGAAGCAGGATTAGCTTAAAAAAGTTATCTTCAGAAAGAGTACGTGAGTGTTTTGTATTAATTTTAGAGACAGACACGCATCCTTCTCTAGTGAGTAGGCATTTGTTAACTGATTAATCTTTACTGTTCCATACAAATAGGCCTTCGTATGGTATGCACTTTTGTACTCCACCCTAAACTTAATCTCAACTCCCTG